TGGGATGGGATCCATGGGATGGGATGGGATGGGATGGGATCCACGGGATCCACGGGATGGGATAGGGTGGGATGGGATCCATGGGAGGTGCCAGGACAGGGATGGACAGGAGGACACAGGGAAGGAGAAGGGAGGCTCTGATGGCCCCCAGAGCCGCAGTGGTCGCCATGGGAGGAGGGCGAGCACCAGCCGAGGAGCCCCACGGAGCCCCTGGGATTCTGCGAGATCCCAAATATCCCAAATGTCCCGCTCGGCGCCTTCGGAACACGGGCGGGATAAAGGGCGTGGCCATGGATGGGAGGATGGGCGGTGACATGACCAAAAATGGTGTTGTGGGCGGGTCAGTGGGCGGGGCCCCCCCCCCCCTCCCCACCCCCCCCCCCCCCCCCCCCCGGCCGATAGCGCCGCACAGCGGCCGTGAGGGAACGAGCGCACTTGGGCACCCCCGGGACCCCCACATCCCACCCCTAATCGGGGACCCCCACATCCCACTCCTAATCGGGGACCCCCGGGACCCCAACAGCTCACCCCTAATTGGGGACCCCCAGAACTCACCCCTAATTTGGGACCCCGGGGACCCCCACATCCCACCCCTAATCGGGGACCCCCGTGACCCTCACAGCCCATCCCTAAACGGGGACCCCACACCTCCCCCCCCCCAAGCCCCCCGACCCCTCGCGGGTGGGAAGGAGGGGTCACCCCCCGCTCTGGAGCAACGCTCTTTATTTGGGGTCTCAGGGTTTGTCCCCCCCAGCCACGGGACCCCGGGGTTTGGGTGTCCCCTGGAGGGTGGGGACACCCTGAGCTGTTCCCTGCCCCTCCCTGGGGACCCCAAACCATCGGGAACCCCCCACGAACCCCTCCTGCACCCCCCGTCCCTGCACCCCTGCCCCAGAGCACTGCCCCAGCCCTGCCCCCGCGGTTTGGGGCCGTGTCACACGCCCGTGTCACAAGTGTCACCCAGCTGGGGTGGCCTCAGGTGTTGAGGCTCTTCACGTCACCCAAGGTCACCTCTCCTTGTTCCCCTCCGGCCACGGCTCCGGGCTCTGGGGCTGGGGGGACAGTGAGGGGGTCCATGGGACGGTCCTGGCCCCACAGAGCTGCTCCCACCCTCATCCCTGTCCCCATCCCTGTCCCCATCCTCATCCTTGGCCTCGTCCCTGCCCTGCCTTCATCCCCACTCTCATCTCCATCCCATTCTGTTCTCACCCTCATCCCCATCCCATTCCTTCTGCTCATCCTATCCCATCCCATCCCATCCCATCCCATGGATCCCATCCCATGGATCCCATCCCATGGATCCCATCCCATGGATCCCATGGATCCCATGGATCCCACACTACAAAGGGAGCTGGAAATCCCCTCCCCACACAGAATCCCATCCCCAGTGGGCCAGGGGGTCTCCAGCTGGAGACTCCCCATCCTACAACACCCCCTGCGCCCCCCAGCACCCCCTTTTGTGCCCCCAACACCCACTTTAGAGCCCCAAACACCCCCTTTTGTGCTCCCAGCACCCCCTTTGGAACCCCCAACACCCATTTTGGAGCCACTCTCACCCCCTTTTGTGCCCCCAGCCCCCCTTTTTTGCCCCC